AGATCATGGAGGAAAAAATAGGGACAATGCTAGGCGCCCTAATATATGGCATAAATAGAATACCAAACATAACTAAAAATGCACACAAAGCAGAAGATGAAGTAGATAAATGAGGCCTCCTTAAAATTAAACACTTATGCTCAACAAAAGACTTTTCCAAAAGAGTAAAAAGAGAACCTACAAATTGGGAAAATTTTTTTGGCTATGACATAAATTCTATAAAGCTTATAGAAAACTTCAGCACCTTAACAACAGAAAGACAAACAATCCAAATAAAAAACAGGTAAAGGATATGAACAGACACTTCACCAAAGAAGACATTCAGGCTGCTAGCAAACATATGAAGAAATGCTTGTAATCATTAGCAATTAGAGAGATACAAATCAAAACTGCAATGAGATACCATCTCACTAATAAAAAACACAGAAAATAACAAATGTTGGCGAGGTTGTGGGGAGATTGGAACTCTTATACACTGCTGGTACAACGTAAAATGGTACAACCACTATAGAAGACGGTATGGCGCTCCTCAAAAAGCTAGAAATAGAAATACCATATGATCCAGCATTCCCAGTCCTAGATGTATACCTGAAAGAAATAAGAGCCGTGACATAAACAGACATATGCACATCTATGTTAATTACAGCATTATTCACAGTAACAAAAAGGTGGAAACAACCTAAGTGCCTATCAAAAGACAAATGGATTAACAAACTGTGGTACATATACACAGTGGAATACTATGCAACGATAAAGAATAATGATGAATCCGAGAAACATCTCACAACATGGATGAATTTGGAGGAATTATGTTGAGTGAAACAGTCAATCACAAAAGGACAAATATTGTATGAGACTGCCACTATAAGGTAACAAAATGTTTATACACAGAAAAACAAACAAGCAAACCATTATTTGATGGTTACCAAGGAGGAGGAGGGAAGGAACATTGCCAAATAGATAGCAGACATGTGTTAATATTGGTGAAGGGAAAGGCAATACACAATACGGGAGAAGTCAACACAACATGACCAAGGCAAGAGAGGACACTGAGAGGAACTCAAGAACAAAGGGCAACTACGGTAACTACTATAGCACAGACAACCCTGCAACAGCAGTATTAACAAACAATAATTTACCAATGGATACATAGGTAGATAGCTATGCCAAAAGGTGTGGGAGGGTGTAAGGGAGCACACTTACTGGCAGATACAGGTTTGTGGTGGATATTTCTATATACATGACCTTAGGTACCCCTTATATATTAACATAAACAATAGAGCATGCAAGGGAACAGTCAGGGAAACCTCTTAGACATAACCAAACACCTTGAGGGATGAAGTTTCTAGGCTTGAAGCCAAAGGACCATAGACTCAGGGGACATCTACGTCAATTGGCACAACATAGTTCATAAAGACAATGTTCTGCCTCCTTCTTTGGTGAGTAGTGTCTGGGGTCTTAAAAGGTTAGGAGCAGCCATCTAAGATACAACTATCGGTCTCTTCCCGTCCAGAGCAAAGAAAAGCGAAAAAAAAAATCAAAGACTCAAGGGAACATTTAATCCAAAGGACTAACGGACCACATGAACCAGAGACTACACGACCCTGAGACCAGAAGAACTAGATGATGCCCAGCTATCACTGCTGACCACTCTAACTGGGATCACAACACAGGGTCCTGGACAGTGTGGGAAAAAAACATAGAACAAAAAATCAAATTCACAAAAAGGACCAGATTTACTGGTCTGACAGAGACTGGAGGAACCTCCGAGACTATGGCCCTAAGACATCTTTCTGACCTGGAACTGCAGCCATTCCCGGAGACCACCTTCCAGCCAAACAACAGACAAGCCCATAAAATAAATAACACGGGAGAGGAACATGCTCCTTAGAACAATCAGTTATATGAGATCAAAAGGGCTATATATGCCCAAAAGCAAAGATGAGAAGGCAGGAAGGGGTAGAAAATCTGGATGAAATGAGATGGGGAACCCAGGGCAGAAGTGGGGAGAGTGCTGACACACTGTGGGACATGAAGCCAAGGCTATGAAACACGTTATGTACAAACTACTGAATGGGAATCCAATCTGGTCTGTAAACTTTCACCTAATGCACAATAAAAAAATTTTCATGTTGATTACATGTTGAAGAAATATATTGGGTTAAATAAAATATATTATTAAA